CTCCTTCGATTCCGGTGAAAAGGTGCTAAGCTTTGGTCCGTCACATGATGAAAATCATCAGAGCAAGGTACCATCTTCACAACAAAATTCAAGCTTAAGAGTCAAGAAAAATCACCGACAAATCCCTAAAAAGTGGTACTCATACTCTACATCTGGCCTATTAGCTCATGTATAAAGTGATTTGATTAGTTACGGTCATATGTCAACTTCGATGTATGTGAGTTTGTCTGTTTCTCTATGGGTTTGTGTATGTTTTTGTTCACTTATGCACGAAACCCGAAGTGATGGATCAAAGTAATAAGGACAGCAAAAAGTAACGTCTGTTTTTGCCCATCAAGGTTTGATGACCCCAATCTCGCCCTAACTACAGACACGTTATAAACACCACTCCGATTCCACAAGGTTAAACACTTATTTGGTTTTGTTGATGAGCCTATTTTATGTTTTTGGTCTCACTGCAAGAGAGAAAGAGTGGGCTAAAAGTACCGAGAAGTGACTATGATTATCTCACTCTTTCTCTCTCGCATTAAGACCAAAAAAAAAGGATCAACAACAAAACCAGACGACTGTCCGACCTTGCGCAATCGGAGTGATGGTTGTAACATGTTTGTAGAAAGAGGGAGAGAGTGTTCATCAAAGCTTGATGACTGAAAACAGACGTTCCTTTTTGCCGTCCTAATTACTTTGAGCCATCACTGCGGGTTTCGAGCATAAACGAACACGAACAGAGAAATGCACTTACGGAGACAGGCACACTCACAAGCTTCAAAGTTGACACATGACTGTAACTAACCAAATCACTTTGTACTTTATCAAAGAGGCCAGATGTAGAGTATATGTACCACTTTTTAGGGATTTGCCGGTCAATTTTATTGAGTCGTTTGCTTGAATTTGGTTGTAAAGATGATAGCTTGCTCTAAAGATGTTCGGTCTTCTGGTGGAACCGACCTTCGAATCTCTTCTCGCAACACTTTCACTCGAACTGGAAGAAAGCTCAACAATTATGAAACAAGAGATTCCTCGAAAGCCAACTTTTCTTCGAATACAATGCATCTGCCATGCAGATCCAATCGTCCTGTACGCAAAATGTACTCCACCGAGGCGGCAATTCAAGCAACAGCCATGGCTGATACTTTAGATTGTGGCGTAGTACCCGTCAGCTGTCGGTAATATAATATCTTTTAGTGCTTCATTCAACTCGAAAAGATGGGTTAGCCGTGGCAAATGATGAACTTGTTTGTGACACGAAATTAGGGTTTGCCGACCAATTCAATTAGCATAGACTCGACTGGCCAAGCAGTCGACGTGGCTGCCACGACATGAAGCCTGACGAATGAGGTTGATTAAATTTCATTTCTCGAAGACAGAGAGTCTATCAATGCAGAATGGTACCATTGTGGATAGGAAGAGCAACTGGGTTTCGATGAATCTTCTGAGATGACATTGTTAGGAGGACTTTTATTTTGTATGAAAGTGCATGAAGAAGAGATTCGTTGGTCGATCTCACCAGATGAGGACGGATGAATCGCGTTGTAATGCAGCCGTATGGCTTTTATACGATGTTCATGTTTATGTTGTTCACGAGAACTACTCCCTCGTTTTTGGTGGAAACGGGCGGAACTTTCGTCCATCATTTGATGGACATCATCAGAGCTGGGTCTCATTCCTTCAAAAGTGTCACGTTAATGCAAGGGCAAGAAGACTGTCCGGCTCTATCTCATCTCTTCTATAAATGCAATTAAGTAAAATAATTGTATGAAGACGTGGTACATTCACAGACGTTTCGCCGGCATCGTATGTGAGTCAAGGACAGAAGGGGAGATACCACAACTGTTTAGCCCACTTTTGGTCAAAGGATCGGCCTCATTTGTCTCTTTGACGAGTTGTTGTGTGGTGCTAAGCATGGCGATAATCACTGACGATGTTGGCGAAACGTTGGGAATGTACCACGTCCACGGTCCGAATTTGGAAATGATGATGCATACAATAGACTC